GCCCGCCACAACGCCCGGCTATTTTTTGGTTGCAGCCTTCATTGTTGTTTTGGCAGGCCCGGGCTGGATACAAACCCACCACCTTAGATGTATGTGGCTGGCACCTTTGCCACTTGAGCCATAGGTACCGAGCCTAAATTTCTTTTTTTGAGACAGAGTTTTACTCGGTCACTCTGGGTAGAGTGCCATGGTGTAACAGCTCACAGCAACCTCAAACTCTTGGGCTCAAGGGATCCTCTTGCCTCAGCCTCTCCCAAGTAGTTGGGACTACAGGTGTCTGCCTGGCTAGTCTTTCTATTTTTAATAGAGATGGGGTCTCGCTCTTGCTCAGGTTAGTTTGGAATCCCCGAGCTCAAGCAATCCTCCTGCCTTGGTCTCCCAGAGTGCAAGGATTATAGGCATGAGCCATTGTGCCTGGCTATAACTAAATTTCTTGAAATTCAAGAAGGGAAAGGTAATTTTCCACTACAACAAACTCAAGACAAAGAAGTACATTAACGAAGTCAGCACCAATGCAAGCAGAGTGGAGTGAGGAACAGGCTGTGGAACATGAATCCTTGTACTCTGCCCCCAGGACACATGGAGGTGAGTTTCCCTAGCAGTGGACTCATCCTTCTCTCAACATGACACAAGGTTACTATTGCCAGAATGGTTCCAGTTACAAGACTGCAGCCCACTCAGATCCATTCAGCCATCCTTTCATTACTAAGTATCCACTGTGTGCCATACACAGTTCAAGGTTCTGAGATATGGTGGTCAGTAAGACACAGGAATTCTTGTCCTTGTGTGCCCAAATTCTAGGGGGGTGGTTCATGAGAGGCAGAGTGTGTGTGCACCAAAGACTGAAGGGGTAGGACTCTGTTCTGAAGTGACTTGTTGAAGATTACATAAGTTAGCAACAATCTACAGCTATGCTGTCTAATTCAGCAGCCACTAACCACACATAAGCTGTTTGAATTCACATTAATTAAAATTAAAGGCCATTTAAGATTCAGTTCCTCCACTGCATTCATTACATTGCAAGTACCCAGCAGCCACGTGTAGACAGCGGCTGTCTATGAGACAGTGCAGATGCAGAGCACATGCGTCACTGCAGAGGATCTACTGAACAGCAGTGGTCGAGGGTTTAGCCTCTTGGTTCCATGCCACTCCTCTTTCTGTAATTCACATTGCGCCTTGATTGTATTGCCTTAGAGGGCCCCGCTCATGAATTCAAGAGTCAGAGCTTATTCTTTCATTATAAAAATTATGATTTCAAAATATTCATCCCAACTTGCCTTTTATAACTTAAGAGGTAAATGGCAGCAATGAGGAGAATGATGAAGGGGCCTGCACAGCTGTTGTCACCACCAGGAGTAAGTTCACTGATAAGACAAATATATAAAGTATCATGGATGTGTACACAAGAATACATATAAAGATTCTTTGCTCTTTAAAGTCCGGGCTTTATGAATTGCACAAGAAAGTCAAAAGCATAGAGAATCTCACCAGGTGCAGTGGCATGCAACTGTACTTCCAGATACTTGGGAGGCTGAGGTGGGAGATTGCTTCTTGATCCCAGGAGTTCAAAACCAGCTTGGGCAACACAGTCAGACCTCATTTCTCTTTCTCTCTCTCTCTCTCTCTCTCTCGTTTTAAAATGGTGTCTCACTAGGTTGGCCAAGCTGCAGTGCAATGACTCAGTCATAGCTCACTACAGCCTTTAACTCCTCAGCTTAAGCAATCCTCTTGCCTGACACTACTGGCAAGCGCCACCATGCTTAGCTGATTTTATATTTTTCAGTAGAGATGGGGTCTTGCTATGTTGCCCAGGCTAGACCTCAGCCCTTAAAAAAAAAAAAAACACAAGGAAGTATGGTGGTAAGGGTAAAAAAGTGCATCCCAGATGACAGATTTAAATCTTCTAAAATCTTATGCAAATCTATGTCTTTGGCATATTAGTCTTGCATACTTGGATACAGCAAAAAGGATCAGTAAAGTAATTTCTGGCTGGAAGCGGCAGCTTATGTTTGTAATCCTAGCACTCTGGGAGGCTAAGATGGGAGGATCATTTGAGTTTAGGAGTTTGAGACCAGCTTGAGCAAGAGCAAGATTCTGTCTCTATTTTAAAAATAGAAAAAATTAGACAGGCCGGTGCCTATAATTCTAGTTACCTGGGAGGCTGAATCCAGGAATTTGAGGCTGCTATGAGCAAGGCTGACACCCTGGGACTCTAGCCTGGGTAACTGAGTGAGATTCTGTTTCAAAAAAAAAAAAAGTAGGGCAGCCCCTGTGGCTCAGTGGGTAAGGTGCCAGCCCCATATATAGAGGGTGGCGGGTTCAAATCCAGCCTCAGCCAAACTGCAGCAACAAAAAAATAGCCGGGCATTGTGGCGGGCACCTATAGTCCCAGCTACTCAGGAAGCTGAGGCAAGAGAATCGCCTAAGCCCAAGGAGTTGGGAGGTTGCTGTGAGCTGTGATGCCACGGCACTATACGGAAGGTTAATAAGTAAGACTCTGTCTCCAAAAAAAAAAAAAAGAAAAGTATTTTGTGATTTCCCCTTCCTGTTTACCCAACCTTCCCATCTTCCATACCCATGAAAGCAACTCTACCAAATG